AAACACACACCCACCCCTTCAATTGCACCCCAAGTTTATTTGACGGGGCGGAGGAGAGGGTGTGTATGAGTCGGGGCTGGGACGAGGGGTTTACCAAGGGAGATTAGGGGTAGGAATTGTCAATTTTATGAATAGGACATCGTAACAGTCTCGGATTATCCTGTGAAATGAAGTTCAATTCTAATGTCATGGGAACCGCCTAGCTCAAATGGTAGAGTAGATTTATAAATTTTGTGACTTAATATGTGGCATGACTAACATTTCTCTTAATACACAGTTTACACGTGAGTACTCGTTACTCTTTATTTTTTGGGAAATATCGATGCAAATAATAAAACAAAATTGTGCTAACACTCATATATGTTCGAAATATTACTCAATTAGTTCGTTCAAATTAAAATTACTCCTAAATATGTAGATATATTACTCTTATTATATTATTTAGAAGTTCTTGTTTTGTTATTTACCTATATTTAACCTCCTCACATGTATGTAAAAAATTTTATTTTGGACATTATCTCTTTATAAAAAATCCTTCGGATTTTCGCAATCGAAGTCTAAAATATTAATTTTCAAACGTGTGAAAAACCTAGTGTACTCAAATAAGGCTCAACACAGTGAACTATTCGAATAAATGCACATTTATTCGAATAGTTCAACACAAGCCTGTTTTTGGAGAACCCCAACAATTCGAATAAATGTCCATTTATTCGAATAGTTCAGCACAGATATGGTTTTTGGAAGACCTGAACTATTCGAATAAGTTGCCACTTATTCGAATAAGTCGAACGGGATAGCTGCTCAAAAGATAAGTTTTTCTCCATGTGTTGCGTTTATTCGGCCAACGGTCACGTCCGATCGCCCAAATGCCTATATTATATGGGCTTGCATGGCATGTTTGAGAGAGGCTAGGAAGGAAGTCCATACTCGTTCTATATACTAATGTCTTATCTTATTGAGGTATTTTGCCAATTTTGGTATACCCCGAAATAACCTTAATCTGAAAGCGTGATATCACGCGATTCGTTAAGTCTATCAAGTCATTTTACGTTACTATATACCAAGGAACGCTGCTACGTACACAGCGTTGTTCCTCCATATATACACATCTCCCAAATTTCCTAAGAGGCCCGCCCATAAGCAAGTGCATTAGGTTCATTTGCACAGGGCCTCCAAAATATAAGGGCCCATTTTAAATTTTAACTTTAGCCCAATAGTAGATTTATTTTATTACTCAAGCCCAATAATTAATACCGGAGTAACAAAGAAGTACTCCGTATTCAGTTTTCCGCCTCATCGGTTACTCCGTGGCTCTCCCTTCTTTCAGTTTTCCGCCTCATCAGTTTTCAGTTTTCCGTCTTCAGTGTTAAACTGCCGTTCTTCCTTCTTTAATATGTTGTGCTCATCTGCACCTCGATCTATTGCTTTGTATCTCAACACCTAGTCTGACGTACTCCTCAATTCCTTCTCCTCTGGAGTTGTGAGTTCTTGATTTTTATGCTTTATTTTTTTTCTATTTCAATTTACTTTTTGTCAATGGCACTCCAATCGCATGAAGTTCACTTTTAAATTTTTATTCTTTTTTTGTCAATGATCAACCATTAATTACTTCAATTGATTTTCATTACAAATCTTTTTAATCTATATTGATCTGTTTCATTGTTTTACTGTTTCTAAAAATTAAATTTTTGAAAGAATATGTTTTCCTTGAAATGAGCAAAGAAAAAAGATAAGAAACTACAATTTCAATTTTAGATTACTCGGTATTTTTTTTAGCAGTACACCTTTTTTATGCATTAAAAACTATTTTTTGTTGCCTTTTTTAGTTTTTACTTTGTAGACATCATAGTTTCATTTGTAAACAGAAATGTTAGTTACAAACATAGAGTTCACAGAGTTTATAAATTTGCTTTTTGTCATTTTAATTTTATAAATTTTTAATTATTTCAGTATTGTTCATTTCGGCTAGTGAGATGTTAACAATATATTATTTTTATGAATTTTAATTTGTAAATTCTTTGTTTGTTAGCATTTCTAATTTGTAAATGGTTTTGAACTTAAAGCCAAATCAAAATATCTCAATTGTGTTTTTCTTGCACCAATATTTTAAATTTTGCATTGTTTGAAAACTTACTAAGTGTGTGAGATTGGTTTGATATGTGATTTTTGTATCGTAAATGATTCAATCTTTCGTTGAATTGCTTCTTTTTATCTCAAGGCCATAAGTTACTCAATTATACAGGGACTTCTAAAATGATTGGGCGGGCATGTTCCTAACATAGTATTTACAAATAGATGACGAGGAAGCAGAGACGAATTCCGACTTGGAGAAGCTCATGGGCATCCAGCAGCGGCTCCTAGGACCGATCCCAACCTGGACGAGCAGACCGGTTGTTGGCTGGCTTTGATCTGGACCGGCAGACAGATAAGTTAAAGAGTACCCAGATGTGAGTATATATAATTTTTTGTCCGGCAAAGACGAAATTGTGGACTCCGGCCAATTATATTACAGCCATAGAGAGTCTCATTCAGGCAGTCTGTTGAAGACTCATGATGGGAGGCGTGTAGTACACACGCGATGACATTAGGAAATAAAAACATATGGTCCTATTTTGAGAAAGTCATTATGTTTAAGGGGCTGTTTGGCAACTTCTGAATGGGTAAGTGCTGAACCAGTAAGAGGTCTGAACCATTAAGTGCTGAACCAGTAAGAGGTCTGAACCATTAAAAGCTAGTATATTGCTTAACTATTCAGAGGCAAATGTCTGATCAATTCAGATAAGAGGTCTTAACCATTCAGACTCTGTATAATACTTAACCATTCAGAGGCAAATCTCTTAACCATTCAGACATCTGAACCATTAAGAGGCTGAAACAAACAGTCTGAACCATTAAGTGCTGAACCATTCAGACATCTGAACCATTAAGAGGCTGAAACAAACAGCCCCTAAGTTCTATTTAAGTAAGTGAAATTTGCACTGAATAGGACTAAAACATAAGTCATTTCCCAATGTAGGACTTAATCTTTTTTATTCCCTAAATAGGATTTAATAATGACCAGTGAAAAAAATAATATCCGAGTAATGCTGAACATTTAATTGAATAATGACAAATAGATAATGAACAATGATCTTACATTAGGAAATAAAAACATATGGTTCTATATCGAGAAAGTCATTATGTTTTAGATTTATTTAGGTAAATTACTCGTAAATAAATTGCCTTTTAATATTAGCCATACCATCCCAAATAAACCCAATCTCTAGTGGAAACTTTGATTAAAATAAATAAGCAGTATTTCATTCATAAAGAGCTTCTTGAGATATCCATCTTTTGAACATTGCGAAAGATTCCATTGGTATAAATTGTGGAGTGCAATGACCGGATCCCTGTTCACATATTTTCAATGAGTCCATAATTGGATTTCACTCCTTTTATCAATTTTCTTAGCCTATTAGCTCAACTAGTGCATCACCCGTGCGATGCACGGAAAGATAAAGTTATTCACAAACCGTAAAGTTCATTTAATTCTAAATAGAACTACTAACATAAAGACGTGTATTAAAAGTAGATTATATTCAATACATACTGTTATAATGAATTATAGTAAACAACGTACATTAAACATCAATGATACATTCTCAAAAATCTCCTTATAAACTACATTAATTGTAGTATTACATGGAGTATTATCAGTGTTACATATCATCATTTTTAATCCCTCGCGAGACCGTATCCTAGACATGACCACATACCCCGTGGCTAAAAATAGGTTTTTTCAAAAATAAACCAACATGAGAGAGAGATTGTCCCTGACTTTTGTTTATGGTCATTGCATACGATACCATAACCGAAAATTATCTTATTTGAAACTTAAATGGCAATCTGGTATCTGATGGAGTCAACGAAATGAAAAATAAAGTAAGATATATTTTAGTAATATATGTTAAAAAATGTTGGACTTTTCTTGAAATGAAATTATTATTTTTATTAATGAAAAATGACTAAATATCACATGCTACCGCTGCTTTAGATTAATCATCTTGCTTTCTTATTTTGAATGCATGTCTAAAAGAAGCTTTATGTTTGAGTTATTTTCTTTTTTAGAAAACATTTTGTGGCTTACTATATATATATCTTTCATCTACATCACTTTCAATTACTTAAATCCATATTTTAAAAAATGTACGCCAAATCTAATCAAGATCATAAATTTAGAACACACGGAGTATTACAAAAATGTAGGAAGAATTTAGAAAATGTATAAATTTAAAGAAAAGGAACAAAAAAATTGCCCGTTAAAGAGCATTTTGAATATTTAAAAATATTTGATTAATATTTGAGAACATTTTAGAAAATTAAATTACATTATTAAAAGAAAAAATCGAGATTGATATTTTTGAAAAATATACTCCTTCCGTCCCATAAAGTGTTACTCATTTTGACTAAAGTTGAAATTAAGGGAGGGATAATTTTGTGTTGACTTTCCAAAAATACCCTTGATGTGATGGGTAAAAGTAGGATGTGATGTGTAGATTATTAGAAAAAAGGTATGATGCGATAGGTAGGGTTTGAAAAAGTAAGGGGTAAAAGTGGTTTTTTAATAAAAATGGGTAAGTGATTATGGGACGCAATTTTTTTGAAACGTGTAAATCTTTTTGGGACGGAGGGAGTAATACTTAAGTGACACTTCTAAACATTTTAGAGACTTCGATGGAATTATTGAAAGAAAATAAAAGAAAGTGACATTTTACTTCATTTTTATTTATTTAATTTTTTTTTTAATTTCTTGCCCTTTTTGTGGTAATGCAGGAGATGAGAGACAAATGGAATACAACTTTGGTGTACCTCTAACATTTATCATAAAATTAATCAAAACCAATGCAGCCCATTTAGTCCAAGCCCAAAACCCAGCATCCGCCGACTCCTCCACCATTCATTCCCTCGGTTCTTAGCATTATACTTTATCCTTTCTTTCTTTTTCATTCTTTTTCAATTCCGATCTTCTTCGCCGTCTTTATCTTGTTGTTAGAATAGCAAATACTTATGCGAAGTCGCAGACCCCTTGATTACCATGGATAGAAGGTTTGCTTATTTCTTATAATTAAACATCTCTTTCCTTTATTTTATATGCCCAGTAATACTTTTGGCATTTTTTCGAAAACTATTTATAAGAAATTGTAATTTACAGATTTAAAGTATATTCATTATCCAGATGACATCTCTTTGATTTTTAATAGGGTTTTTGGTAGTATTAATTTTGAAATGTTAATGATTTGCTCTAACCTTCGGTTCTTTTTGGTAATTTTAAAAACTAATTTCAGATTTATCTTAAAATCTATTATATATATAAAAATCGAATCAAAATCCATTGCCTAATTTACCCGCCAAAATCCAAAATCAAAGGTCCAATTTTAATGACATTGAAACATATCTACGGCCCAAATTTAACTACGTGGCAATACAACCTGCGTAAAAAAAAACCTACAACCACCGTAAAAACCTGCGTAAAAACCTACACCCACCCTGCGCAATCTCACCTCCGTAAAAAAAAACCTACACCCACCCTGCGCAATCTCCCACCCACGACACCACAAACTGCGAAACATGCTTCCCACAATGATTGTGAAACTGCCGGAGATTGATTTTTTGAAGAACCTGGCGGTTACATAAAGGCATCGCTGCAACAGTATATATAGTTCATCATCTTTATTCTGTGTATATTCACAATTTCCAGTAAAACGAGATGTCTCCCCATTGGGTCCCTCTCAAGATGCTGCATCCAGCGAGGCATCAGGATGCTGTGAAACTAAGACTCCTACGAAGCTACGATCGTAAGACGAGGACGACTACACCGAGCACAATCTATGCACACGAAGCTATTTTCCAAGATGAACAGGTTTTATGTTTCAACTAAAATCCACATGCTTTTATACTTTGAATTTCATGGTTACAATTCTTAATATCGTTTCTAATATGTAGGGAAATCGTATTCATGCATTTTGTGAGAAACATTTGATCCCAGACTTCAAGCCTCTATTAAAAGAGGGACAAGTGCATGGAATAGAGAATCCCATTGTGTCAAAGAATACTCAAAATTTGACTGACCATCTATACAAACTGTCATTTGTTAAAGACACAGTGATAACACATGTCAATGATGAAGATTTCCCTGACATAATGTTCAAGTTTGGAAATTTTAAAGCCCTCAATGCAGCCAAAGATATTCAGAATCGACCCATGTTTGGTAAGTGTCTATCATTCAATTTAACACAATATTATCCTTTGAAAAAACAAGTCTTAATAATGACAAACCTGTCTTATGTCATTTTAGATGTTATTGGGTTACTTCATGTTGATCAACCGCCAACTGAAAGGATTGGAAAAAGTGGTACCAAAGTTAGAGTGATGGATATTTGGCTTGAAGATTTGGAGTAAACCTCATACTGATTTTTTTAATTGATTTACCTTGCACAATATTTTTATTTTATTAATACTTACCTCTGCATGTAGTGGTGAGAAAATGTCTTGCACATTATGGAGCTCATATGTGGATCAACTCTTGGATTATCTCAACCAACAACCACTGCATCCGACGGTGGCTATTATGCAGTTCTGTCAAGGAGCTGTTTACAACGGTATTCCTAAAAATTCTGCACAGTTTAAACATAAGACATGAATTTTGATTAACACATTAAATGCTATGCAGACATGAACAAGGCCTCGACCTTTTATGATGTTACAAAACTCATTTTGGATCAGGATTTCCTGCCTATATTGGAGTTCAAAAAACAGTAAGAAGTATTTTATATATTTGTATGCACTTTGTAATTTACCATTGCTTTCATACATTTATGTGATTGAACAACAAATCTGCTACAGTTTAAAGGCAAAGGGAGTGAAACCCCAAAATGTACTAAGCTTCAGTGCATCTACATCCAAATCAGAACCCTCAAGCATTGAGATAAAGACATTACAACAAATCACTGAGAACTATGAGGTATATATGTATACATTATGTCTTAATATATGTTTATAACTCTTATTTTTAGTGTGACAAAATACATATGACGACAGGTTAAGTACCTCTCTGCTAAATGTTCTTTGTTGTAGTGTTTAACATTATTCACAAATATTCACAGCAGGGCCGTGCATGGATTCTTTGTAAGGTTATTAGTTTTGAACAGCATGGAGCTTGGTGTTACACATCATGTAAGAAGTGCTCGAAGAAGCTATCCCCTACAAATGGTATCTATACTTGTGACACTTGCCACCTCACAGGATTTGTCATGAGGTACATGTAACATATTCTTTTAAATTTCTTTAATAGCACCAAATACAGAAGTTTGAAGCAAATATCCCCTTTTTGTTGATAACAAAATAGGTATCGAGTCAAAGTACGTGTGGTTGACAACACAGACAATCTTGCATTGATGTTATGGGACAAGCATTGTATATCCCTTTTTGGAAAACAAGCAGAAGACTTTTTAAGGGATACTGTAAGTTAAAAAAACCAGTTAAATTGCATGTAAAGAGTACTTATTCTTTAAAAATACTGATTTAAAGAGTATTTACAGGGTGATGACTCTCAAATCCCTAATGCGTTTAAGTCCATCATTGATCAGCCACTCCTGTTAGAGTTGGATGTCAAAAAGACAGAATCCAGTTTCTCTGAAAAAACATATTCAGTCCAGCAGATTATTACTGACCAAAATATTTTGGGACGATATATTGTTGACACCTCTAGCACACAGGTATCATCAGTCTTTCTGCCTTATTTTATAAGCATTTAAACTAACAACATATTATTTAATGTAGGACTCTGTTACCAGTAAACCAAACAAAGCCATCACACAGACAATTGACTTAGTTGCAACTGAGGAATCCACCAAGAACGATGATCCTAAGAAGCATGGCAGTGATGTTACCTACACTTGTCTGAGTGCTAATATGAAACGAGATCTTACCAAGGAATTTGAAGATATGCAGGCGCACTTGTCCAAGAAACCAAAAGTGAGTGTGAAGATTGAAAAGGACTAAGTCGCACTTAGATAAATGGGCCAGATTATGACTTTCTTATTTTTACTTTTTTTTAAAAAAAAGTACTTTATGTTACTTTCTTATTGTAATGTCTGAAGTTACTTGTCAATTAAATTAAACTTACAGTTGTTCATTTCTCATGTATTACTTCCTATATTGTTTACTTAATGATGACAAAAGAATGTTATATGCAATGCTGCCAGATTTAATTCAATAATGCGACTTATCTATTACGAATTACAAGATTAATATGATCAAAATTAATGCTTAAACTTCCGCCTGCTACTACAAAAAAAAATAAACTGAACTACTTTAATAAATATTTGAGCAATTAAATAAGCCATGCTAAAAAAACCAGACAATTTCCGCAATTTTTTGAAAACTTAATTTGTATATTTATTTTTCATGCAGATTGTCAAGGCTTTAAAATCTCCACAAAAAATATCTCATCAAAACAGAGTTCAAATTACATACCCAAATGAAAAAGGTATTTGTTGTTATCTATGATTTATTCTCCCACTTTATACTTAATTGACTTATACTGTATGCCTTAACCTATTTTTAAAGTGCAAACGACATGACACAAACTTCCACGTAGGAAGACACACCTGAAATATAATACCTCATCCTTCAAAAAATATTGCAAAAATAATCCCTGAATACGTTTTCTTGATGCCATCATCTGCCAATTAACTTTTTTGAAAGAACTCCATAAAGACCTTAAACGTATAAAGTTTATCAAGTCAATATTATAAGTGTGTTTAATTGATTAGGTACTTTACATTTAAAAAAAGGTAGCAATTCATATAGGTTCACTACCAGCTTAGAAGTAAACAAACACCACTTCTCCTTAATTGATTTATACTGTATGCCTTAAACTATTTTAAAAGTGCATAACACATCACACAAAGTACCAGGTGGAAAGACACACCTGAATTTGAATACATGATCCATCAACAAATTTTGCGAGAACTCCATAAACACCTATAACATATAAAGTGTATGTTAAATAAAAAAAGCTTCATGCCAACATACAACTTAACAAATGACACTTACCTATATTAGTAACACTTAATTACCCTTTCATTCTAAATGAATTTATTTCAAAATAATCATAAACACCACCATTAATATGTAAATAACATCATTTGATTCAGAAAAATGATTTACATTGCTCATGTTAGAACTGGTTTTAAAAGTTATTTTGTTTGAGCCCCTAGAGAAATCAGTATTGAAATACAGAAACACATAGCAATTACGCCAAACCTCAATTTCTTAAAGGAAGTTAATGCTTAGTCAATTGATAGTGTGAAGATGGGTAAATGTCTGCCAAACATACCTGATAGCCCAATGTTTTTCTCTCCTCTTTTCTCTAGCAGTTTTCCTATATCCCTCATCTTTGCAACCTGCACACGAAGAGGTATCATAAATATGAGACCAACCAAGTGTAATGATCCAAATAGCATTTGGAAATGTATTCCAAATGCTGGCAAATAGATTAAACCACAAAGCCCGTGATAGATACACAATTTATGTGACAATTAGGTCCATTACAAAACTTTCTCAGCTTTTTCTTTTTATCATTCTAAGATACATATTTTGAAAAGATTAAAATTGTTAAAAACATAAAAAAAAAATCATCCAACCATTTTAATGTACATGAGCATGTAATTGTTGAGACATAAATCTTTTTTAATTTGAATGTAGGTCAGACAAGGTCATCAGAGCACCTCTTCTCAAAGCTTTTTTGCATGGCAAATTGCTTGACTTCGGAATTCATAGATACACCAATACATTTAGATGATGAATTTCGAGACACATCAAAAACTGATATAAATTATTGTAAGTACCCTCACTTTTCAAAGCATATCATAATACAATTTATTATTACTATAATGATAACAATGATAGAACTGTAGATATTTTAAAATGAAATAATTGTTTTACATTGGTAGTTGACATGCAAATTGTTGTGGATCCAATATTTGCTTGCCGGAAGCAAGGGATAGAATCCTCATTAGGGACACAAAGTTCTACTTCATTACAAAATGGTATGTCACATACACTTGTGAAAATATGTCAAACTTATACTTGAAAATTGAACATATTTTGACAAAAAATGAAGTTCAAATAATGTATTACCTGCAGGGGAAAGTAAGGAGAACACATTATCCTTTGAAGATCTCCGATCTTCACACAATGACGCTATGAGTGATAATGAACATGTTCTATCTGATGTTCCCATTATCTTAGATGAAGGGTTCCAAAACCTACAAAACATAGATATACATCAATGTTAGTAAACAAATTCTAACCATTGCCTTTATTACTTTTTGTATATTTTTTTCCGAAAATTAGTTTTTAAATTTGCTATAATATACAGATGCTCAAGAAATTCCAACTACAACATTTGTTCAATGCAATGGTAATTTTTAAACTACGTCTTCATATGACAAAGGTATGTGTTGTTATCTATGATTTAATATCCCACATTAAACTTAATTGGTAATAACATTGTAGAGTTTTGGGACATTGATGATGCAATATGTGCATGTGAACATTGTGGTGCACTCTTTTGGTTTGTGGAGCGCCTTTCTACAAGTCGGAAAAAACATAGTCCTACATATTCTGGTTGTTGTGGTCGAGGTAAAGTTGTTTTGCCAAAACTACTAACTCCACCCCAAAAGTTGCTTGACCTTTACTTTGGAAATGACACAAAAAGCATCCATTTTAGACAAAATATACGGGCATATAATAATATGTTTTGTTTTACTTCAATGGGCGGAGATGTTGATTATAGTTTAAATGATGGTACGGCTCCGCCAGTATTCAAATTACATGGTCAAAATCATCACAAAATTGGAACACTGCTTCCTCCTGAAGGAAAAATGCCCAGATTTGCACAATTGTATATCTATGACACATTGAATGAGGTGGATAATCGAATTCTATCGAATCGGTAAGTCATTATATTATTATTTAATTTGTTCATATCTTTTTTTATTTTATTTTAACTATGAAATAAAAAACTTATGCCCTTTATTTTTAGTATTCGATGCACAGGATCACGCAACTTTCATAATGACATTGTGAGAGAATTGCAGAAGATATTGGATGAGCATAACGTTCTAGCAAAGTCTTTTCGAATGGCTAGAGAGCATATCACACATGCTTCGCATTCAAATGTTAGACTAAAGCTTATAGGCCGTAGGCAAAATGATGCAAGGACATATCCACTACCAACTGTCACAGAAGTTGCTGCTTTATTAGTTGGAGATTTTCATGAAGCGATGGGTGATCGTGACATAATTGTGCAAACTAAAAGCAAAAAACTACAACGAATAAGTGAATTGCATGCATCATATTTGCCTTTGCAGTATCCTTTGCTCTTTCCGTACGGCGAAGATGGATATAGGGAGGATATTTTATTGGCTAGATATGATATGGCTGAAGAGGATGATGATGAGGAGGGGGAAGATGATAAAAAATACGTTACTATGAGACAATTCTTTGCATATCGAATACATGATAGACAAAAAGAAGTCTCGGTGATTTTACATGCAAAGCGATTTTTTCAACAATTTGTTGTTGATGCATACACAATGGTTGAGTACTCAAGGCTCAATTACATTCGCACCCATCAAAAAGAATTGCGTTGTGACTTGTATAATGGCCTTAATGATGCTTTGCTCCGTGGTGAAAATAATGCAGCAATGCAAGGACAACGTATTATCCTACCCTCATCTTTTACTGGTGGTGCACGCTATATGATTCAAAATTACCAAGATGCAATGGCTATATGTAGATGGGCAGGTTATCCTAATATTTTCATAACTTTTACCTGCAACCCTCGATGGCCTGAAGTTTTAAGGCATGTACAGAGCAAAGGTTTAGCCCCTGAAGATCGTCCTGACATTGTTTCACGCATTTTTAAGGTTAAGTTAAATATGCTGATGAAAGATATTCGCCAAAAAAAAATATTTGGCACTGTTAGGGCAGGTATTTACCAATAAAACTTATTGTCGTTTACCCTTATTATTATTTACATGTACTTTAAAAACTTATATAATTTTTTTTGCAGCTATTTACTGTTGGACATGAGTTCAAATCCCTTTATTATTTTTCTGGAATATTTTTGTTTTGATAAATGACAAACAAGATGATGAAATTCAAACGATAATCGAAAATTCATTTTTCGTATCGAGAAAAGCAAAGAGACGTATCAAGAAAGTTACGGGATAAAATTCAACGCTCACCCCTACGCAGATTTTTGAAGTGAAGTGAAGACTCCGAAGACTTTTTAATTTTTATTGAGTCTAGGATTCTTGTAAGGATGACAATAATTTTTGCATAAACAAATTAATTTTTGAGGGATAAAAATTATTATTTCTTGAGTCAGTTGAAAAATTATTTTTTTCTCTGTCTAAAAATATTCTTTTGAGTCAGTTTCAAAATAGTGTGTCAAAATTTCTTTAAAATATTATTTAAGGATACACAAATTTTTTTTGGTAAGAAAAATGTACTTTAAAGATTTTTTCTTGTACATCGTTTGACACACAAAATATTTTTGGGACTCAATTTCTACACCAAAATTCAAATATTTAATTCAAATTTTGAATTTGAATTAATTTCTTTAACCCATTTGTATTGTTTGTTTTTGGGAGCCTTATATTATTCAAATTGTTGTCTAAAACAAAGCATTTAAATCCAAATATCCATCCCACTCGCACACATGTCTTGGGTCCTCATGTTTGAGAGCTATTCGTCACTGGATCGATCCAATTGCTAGGATCGATCATCTTGTTTT